AGGTGAATTCAACAGTGCTAATTTGTTTTGGTGTGTGTGGAGATGGAGTTTGTGCCATATTAGTAGCAGGGTGTATATCGAGTAACTGAACTGAGAGCTTAAGGTAGCTACCTGCAAACGTTTTGTTGAATAATTCATACATGTCTGCAGAATTAGTGCATAGCCTACCTTTGCCTATAAGTAGAGAGATGCTGTGATGTTTGCGGTTCATTCGCTTCTTTAAGATTTCTGTGAGAGCACACACTCTAGCAGGAATGACTATTGCAGTGCGTTCTTCGTTTCTCATACGCAAATCTCGAGCTTGTGAGATGGAGCTAAGAGTGTTAAGCATTAAACCCAGTGCGCAAAAGTCGTGGTGTTTGAAGTAACTTGTTGAGAGTTTCTTCAGTTTCATACGATCCTTTGGTTTTATGAATGATTTTCTATGTGGGGAAACCTTTAGCGTTTGAAGTGGAATGATAGCATCTAAGCAGGTGTTTGAGTTATGGTAGAAGATGCTCAGAGCTCTTGAGAGGTCATCAGTAGTGAAGTATTCGCCCCACTCAGAGGATCTTAGCACTGATTCCACAACGGCCCAGTTTGCCTTACTATAGTTCCTACATATTACTTGTTGTGAAGTAGAGGTATATGCTGCATTGCTATTCAGTGGAAGTGGCAGTGCACACATCACTGTTTTGTGGTCACTATCTGAAAACTTAAAACCCGCTAAAACTGAGAGGGGACTTATATTGTGACAAAATATTAAGTCCAGTGCGTTGTCACTTGTTGTACGGATAGTGACAGTTTGTTTCCAGCCGAAGATGTCCAGTGTGCCCAAGAGCTTGTCATATTTAGTTGGCCCTTTCAATAAATCCCAGTTGATTTCGGGTAGGTTGAAGTCTCCACATATGATCTAATGCTCGTATGGAAGAGTGGATACTTGCTCCAGTTCATTTATAAGTTGTGTCTCGTAATCATTAAAGGTGCCAGGTACTCTGTAGATACATCCTATTAGTAGTGTAGCACTTTTGAAGTGTACGTTGACCCACAGGGTGTCTTGCATGTCATTCACTTCCCTATTTTCTAGCTGTAATGCAGTAAGTGTGTTCAAGAAGTACATTAGGCACCCTCCTCCCTTACCACTCTTCCTGTCTCAACGAAAGTGTGTGAACCCATCGATGCTTATCTCTACGTCTGGTGTATTCGGTTCTAATAATTATTGGGGGTTTGTATACCAGCGTGTGTGCCCTGAGCATCAGTAGTTTGTTAAGGATAGACCTAGCATTAATAAGCATTAAGTAGAGTTGAGATTATAAGTAGTGTTTGAAGTATTTAAGCTCGTCAATTAGGTTCAAGTGTGGATCGGCATCCACTGTTTCCGCATGGCATATCAACCCTGTGTTGCAACTAGTTTGTTCACCTATGTCTGTCGAGTTACTATCCATTTTTTAAGTGGGTAATGGGTTTGATTATTAGATAAACTATACGATGACGTAGTTCTAGGCTTGGGTAGGTTGGAGAGTTGGGTTGGAGTTTTTATTTGGCCTATGCTTGTACAGTCATTGGGTGTGATTAATAGTTCCGTGTGTACCAGCCCATGTCTGATTTCTTCCCGATAGGGGGCCGACATTAGTGGTACGGGTTCAGAAGGGTTAACATCCCCACCAGCTGTTTGGTTAGCGCTGACAGGGATGTGTTGGATAAAAAAGCTTTGGTACCTTGTGATGCCCATGACTTGTTAATCTGCCTATTGTATGTGGACATTCCAAGAGACCTTACATGGGTGTCGTTATATGCATAGCTGCACTGTGGTTTGTTTCCCGGAAGACTTGTTCCGTATAATCTGCCGAAGTTAGTTTGTGTGTCATGCTTTGTAGACCCTGAGTGCCTGGTGGCTGAGCTCCGAGTATTGTCACTTGTACTACTTTGCGTGATAGCGTCACTACACCAGCTAGTAGTATACACTATCTAATATCAACAATTCAAAGTGCACCGTGATGAACAGCCATCTATAATGGTGGCCATATTACAAACGTGACTGGTAGATTTCAGTCCGCACCGAAGACAGGACTTGACACATCACACTAGCTGCTAACTAGTGTCCAATCAACAGTTTTTATTCACCCTTTTGGTATGCTTTACTTTTTAAGCTTACATTATCTACACTAATTATATTTATTATTACCACTCACTACTATTATTCCTATTATATCCCTTTCCGACCACACCGGGCGAAGGAATCAACTCTGCTCACAGCAGCGACACGGTCTTAACATAGAGCATACAACGAATCACACACAAGCAATCCAAGAACTACTGCACTTGTATTCAACAAAAGCTATGATAGTCGAGTGGCAGGACACAATACTCAGAAGATTACAAAAGACCAGGAACCTTTACCCTACCACTGAGAGGCGAACAGAAAGGGACCAATCGGGTTTTCACTATATTAGGAGCTATTTTGGACAACCCCTGAAGATTGAGTTTGGTTTACTAGAGGATGTAATGTATTGGATGCGTGTGTATTGTCAACATGTAAATCGTTACAAGCTTTACTACAAACTATCTGCTTAATCACTCAGTGGGGCAGCACGTTACAAATTCTGTAAGTATTCATAATCAAGCACAAATCAAAACGATCTCTCAGTCTTCATAGAAATACACTTAACTGGCCTTTTAGAACCCAGTGAAAGGACATTGAATCGATGAGTAATCGATGCATCAAATTACTCTAGTGTTTATTTCTATTTATGCCTATTTTCAACATTTTGAAAGTGATATTTCAGATATAAAGCATTGGATAGTGGTTTTGTTTGTATTTGTAATGTCGCTAACGCAAGTTTAAGTATGCGTAAGCAGTTATCAAGGTATTGCAGTTAAGCATGTTAAGAGAAATTTTGAATGTGAACTGAAGTTGGCGAATGTGGTTTTCAATACAAAAAATACACTAGTATGTGATTTTTCTTATTATCTTCTGCTGACAGTACTCAGAACGTCCAAATGAAGTAGGCCAGCCATTGTGAAGCATATAATTAATTTTTCTTTAGAATAACAGGAGCACCATAAGTGAATCTCAATGAAAACCTTAAGTGAAAGGTGAAGAAACTGCTGTTTCTTCAGATTAAGCAACAATTAATTTTCTCCAGTTAATGAAAATGTTGTGTATACTAGCTAAAAACACAACTAACTTAGTTGAAAATCAACAAGACAAATCATAAACAATTTGCATGTTGGTCACATTAGGTAGCATATCTAGTGGACGATTTACAGAATTCACAGGGGCATCAGAACTTGGGTCTCTTCAGACACTGATTTTAAGGTTTTCGTGAACAATATTCACTCTATGCGTATGCGTAAAGTGGGGCGAAAATGTGAACCACATGACGTTAATGTAAGGAAGAAATTTGTACAAGTTAGGTAATTGTTTAAATGACGTGGAGAACGTGCGAAAATTCACTTTATTCTACGTTTATAAACGTAGGATATGTGCACATATCTCTCATTTTTACATGTGGAAAATTGGGGGAAGTGATTCGTTGAATACTTGGAGAAAGTTACGATTAAACTCTTTGAGAACACCAGAAAAGGTGAGGTTGTAATGTTGCACCTTATCCACATTTCGCCCAAGTCTAATCTAATGAAAATCGCCTATTCACCTCACGTTTTTTTCCAATTTCACTATGTTCATTCTCTGACTGGAAGTTAGCTATCCTGCAAGCTTTCAGTTGAAATATTTGTTAAGTGACACAACAATTCAATCATCGACTCTTTTATCCCACACTTACTTGAGAATATGGTGCATACCACTAGTGTGTTTTCATTCTTTAACCTCAGAAGGAAGCATAACAACACAAAATACTAATGCTTTGGTTCACTGCGGAAACATTTAGTTGGTGTCTATCGGCATTTCACTCGACAATCTCGTCCTACCATAAGAAAATTTAGACCGACTCTAGTGGCTAGTTTTTAAGAGTCATAAGAGAAGGCCTTAGATGGTAGAATCTTTCTTAGAGATAGTTGATTTAGAAATCTTACTGTATGTCTTAAACGATCGCTCTCAATACACCACTAAGTACTTAATGTTTTCTTAAGTGTGATTTCTAGATCATATTGTCTTTCAACCAATGTACTTCTAACTAAGATTATTTCGCTATTATTCACTTTCTTGTTGAATTAAAAATTTAAATCTAGTAATCTCAGTTCTTTTGTGGTCATAATTTTCCTACCTGTAAATAAGAAAGTTTGTCTATCTAGTGAATTTCAGTTGCACACGACAAATTATTTTAAGGGGAATGGTGAAAATTGACATTGTGTTTGTAAGCCTCACGGTAATAAGTAAAACTGCTCAACAAGTGAGCAAGTTTTCTGGAGTGCATTTTACTGAAAAGAGATTATCCTTTGCATCTCAAATCCTACAGATACAGTGAAAAGTGATGATATTGCCTCTAAAGCACTGTGATAAAATTGTCTCAGTAAATATCTAACTAAAGTAATTCCTGAGAACAAGTATTACGTTTATTTGTGGAATTGAACACAGTTATAATTTTCCTACAATCTTGGAAGTTAGAAAGGGAATAATGTAGCAGAACAAGTGAAACTGTAGTTTGAACTGCAGTCCAAAGTGAGCTGCTGTAGTCTTGTTAACAGTGTAGGAAATTTCCATTAGTTTGATTCAAAGAATTTGCAGTCATTTTTCATTATGTCGATAGAAACCTCTGCAGGTGTAAGTATTGATACCATTAAGACAGATATGTTGTCCTTTTGGTCATTTTTTAACTTGATTCTGTCTTCTGTTGAAAAGTTGCTGAGTCTTTGAACTCCTTCAGATTTCTGGTAATGTGAGCATGCATGTAGGCAACAAAAAGGGCCCTATCGGTTCTCCTATGTTGACTACAAGTGGTATATTAGATCCACTGTTAATAGACGTTGAAATGATAGCTGTATTCCTATTTTTGTCTCATCTGATTTGTTTGTATATTTTTAGAGTCGCAAAGTTTGTGTATAAATGATGAGTGAAAAATATGTCATCACATGAAAATTTCATCGGATTCATTAAAAGCTCACTCAAATATGTTGCAATAGCTTTGGTCTTGGGATTAATTGTCTGGAGTCTATTGAACAAAGCCTCCAACTCACGTCGCAGGAAAGCTCAACTTAGTAAGAAGAAAGCCCACACTTCAGCACGTATAGAAAGGATCAGAAGGCGATTAGCCAGCCTACCAAAACCAGTTAATAACTTTCTATCTTATGTTGATAAAGATTTATCAGAAGTATGCGAAGAAATGCAGAAAGGCAGTATAACTCCTGTTGATTTGTTGCACGCATATCAAACAAAAGCCCTAGAATTGTTTGACAAAGGAAATTCCGGCATTGCAGATTTCATTGAAGAGGCAGAAGAACAAGCCACTGTACTTGAAAATACAAAGAATGAAGAAGTGAAGTCTCCATTATATGGAGTTCCAGTCAGCATCAAAGAGACATGTTCTGTTTCTGGATATGACTGTACGATGGGTACTGCGAAGTTATGCAATGTAGCATGTCAGTCAGATTCTGTGATTGTTAAAGCCTTGAAGAATGTTGGTGCGGTTCCTTTTGTGACAACTGCAACTTCTCAAGTCTGCAGTTCTCTGGATGGCTTTAATCCTGTATGTGGTGAAGTAAGTCACCCATTTAATAAATCTCGCATTCCTGGAGGAAGTTCTAGTGGTGAGGCTGTACTGCTGGCTCTCCATGGTTCCCCCATCGGTATAGGAACAGATCTTGGAGGAAGTATTAGAATTCCTGCCTCTTTCTGCGGTTTAGTCAGTTTGAAACCCACAACAGTTAGAATCAGTAACCTAGATATTGTGTCGAGTTGTGATACTTCAGTAATATATCTGAAGCCATCCATCGGACCAATGGGGAGGAAAGTAGAAGATCTAGTTCGTTTCATGCGTGCGCTATTATCTCCTGCAATGTTTGATTTGGATCCATATGTAATGCCCACACCATTCGATGATGTGTTGTATTCAGGAAGTCAAAAGCGTAGTTTAGTGATTGGTTTCTACGATAACTTCAATGACCCAAACATCATTCCTGTTTTGAAAGTCAATCAGATAGCCGTCAATAAAGCAGCCATAGCATTGAAAAAAGCAGGCCATCAAATTGTACAGTTTACCGTCCCCAATCCCTATCGGGCATATATCTTGGGACTGCGTGCAATGTTTGCAGATGGAGGTCTAATAGTCCGGAAGCAACTTCATGGAGAGTCCGTTGGACCTCAGTTACGTTCCCTTGACCTCCTGCTTCGTTTCCCAAACTTCTTGAGGCCTTTGGCAGATATCCCATCTAGATATCTGGTTGGAAAACCACCATCAGTAGCACACACTACAAAAAAATTGAGAACTGGTGAGGAAGCTCTCAACATTGTTGCTGAATTGAATGCATATCGAAATGAGTTTTCCAAAGCTTGGTCTGACGCGGGTCCTCTAGATGCTCTTATTTGTCCCATAACTCCATATCCTGCTCCGCCCAAAGATGCTTCATCGTCGTTCATTAATCCTTCGGTTGTTTATGCCATTATTTACAATGTATTGGATTATCCTGCAGGTACAGTACCTGTAGGCAGTGTTCATAAATCCGATGTTGAGGAATCCCTAAACATAGCTCAGTCGTTGTATCTTGAGGGCGAAAAGTATGCATCACAGGTGTTCAAACTGCTAAAAGATGGTGAAGGCCTTCCACTTTCAGTTCAGGTTGTCAGTAAGCCATATCATGAGGAAACTGTTTTGAGGGTGATGCATGAAATAGAGGAGTATATCAACCAAGTTGGCCAGTGATAACTGATGTAAACTATAACTGTTTATGTTGATTACTTGTTGTTAGGGTTTGTTTTGCATTTCAGATGGTTGTATTTGTTTCACACTTAGAGTTTATTTAAACTTTCATATTTTCGTTAGTGAATTCAATGGTTTTATGAGAAAATCGGTTGTTTTGGTACACTTAAAAAACTTAGTTCTATTGATAAGGAATGCTAATTTTATTAAGCGATTAATTTAGGTCACTTTGGCAGCTACTTAACTCAATAGTTTACGTATTCAGGGTGCTGAATAAATGAAAGTCGGTTACCAATTCTTTCGAATAGGCCATTTCGTCAAATCAAATTTCGATGATTAAGTGGGGTATCAACTTTATGTAAAACAGCTGTCATTGTTTGAAGTAGTCACGTTTCACTGAATTCGGCATTTCAACCCTGTCTTCTCTGGCTCTATTCACCCATAGTTTTAAAAACCTAAGTATGGCGTTCAATGAATGGTTTGAAACGATATGAAATCAACTCAACAGTTGCAATTGATGCTTGAGAACTGAATAGTAATAAGAAGCACTTTTCAACTTTAGTTTGATGAAATCTTTCGAATAAGTGTACATTTTTAATATTTCATAAATAATGAGTACCACATGTCAAAATACAACTGAATGTTAATATAGTCCCTCGAGTCCATTATGTGTAGGCCAACAGATGTGACTGTAAACGAAGACAAACCAACATCATTTGAGAGATGAAGTTCATCAACTAGGAGAGACGTTATCTTCGTTAAAGTGAGCGTCATTTTTGTCTCTTCATTAGTGAGCATAGATTGTCGGTCAAAAGACTAATTATCCTTTAATAATAGCGCAGGTAAAAAACTGCCGACACCAATTTCACTGCAAAAACACATGCAAATGTTTAACACAGGGAACGCTTATAATTTCCAAATTCCCTTTTATGCATTTAAAAAAAAACAGAATGAGCGAAGAAATTTATTCCTCTTCAATTAGTTCCTCATCATTGGCTCTAGATTAATATACAGTTTTTCACATCAAAATTATATACCAATCAAGTAATTATTTTAGTTAATCAGTTTTAGGTGCAGGGGGGGTGAAATTAAGAGGTTATAGGTCGTCAAAACAATTAACTAATAGATGTTAGTAACAAGATATCTAAGTTTTAAAGGAGGGGTGAAAATTAATTACGGAAATCAAGATAAGTTGATTCTTAGGCATTAGCAACAAGTTATTACGTAACCAAGAAATTTGCAAAATGATGGTGACTAAGAAGAAGAGGATGACTCAGAAGAATTACGTAAAATACAAAAAGTTAATAGACTTGGCTAGAATTGTAAAAATATTACAAATTAACAAAGTCAAAAGGTAGTTACAAAGGGGGGGAGGGGAAGTCGTTTTTGAAAACTTAATACATATTATGTAGTTGGTCATAGTAAAGAAAGGGGCTGTACGAATTACTTTTGAACATACAGATTTGGCTTGTTCAGATGATATGGTGACACCCAGGTTAAATGGCGTACTGAAGATTCACAGCGACTGCTTGCCACTTAGACCACTCCTCGATATGCCATACTATGAGCGATGTTGGTTGATATACGATAAATAACTTTGAAAGCTTTGTTAGAGTCCATCTGATGTCCAGTATTGGGCTGTGTATAGCTTTATTTGTACCTTTGCCAAACCAAGATGGGAGGCGTTCAGAATTTCGACGATGAGCTTGCCTGATCGTACGCCCTATGCAACTAGCTCCCCACGGACACCTAAACTGGTAAATACACATGGAAGTGGCGAAACAGGGCAGTTTGTCTTTATTTCTTGAACTGAGTATCGGTTACCTAGTGGATATACAGCATAGCCTAGCTGAGTTGAAGGTCCTTTTGAAAGCCCTTCTCAGACGTTGTGAGAAGATCTTGTTAATGACATCACCCGTGAATTGTAATCTTAGGAAGACTGATTTTTCGGGAACAGTTGGCACCTTCGACTTTTTACTTCCTAAGTTCATGTGTTTGTTCACCAATTTAGTTGTATATCCGTTTCTAATTAGTAGATCGAGAATATTATCGAGTTCTCCGTTTAGTGTCACATTTGAACAGATAACTCTAGCTCGGTGAACCAGACATTTGACCAGATTACGTTTGTATTGTAGAGGTACGAAGCTCAGGAAGTGAGTATATTGTCCAGTGGAAGTAGGTTTTCTGCGCAAACGTCTACATATTGTTCTGTCTGTTCGTTTAGTCATTAGGACGTCCATAAAGGAGATAGAGTCATTTTCTTCTTCTTCCTTAGTGAAGCTTATGCTAGGATTTGCTGTAATGAATTTATCCAATATGTCCTTAGTCTCACTTTCTTTCTTAACAACTATAAATGTATCATCGAAATATCGGCAATAGAAATCAAGATTATATATTACATCTTTAAGAGGACCATTCTCTAGTTTCGCCAGGAAAAATCTGCTAGGATTGGGCCAAGCGGTGATCCCATGGTAACACCATCTGATTGCCGATACATTTCATTATTGAACAGGAAGTTTACGTTCACTGTACACCTTAGAAGAAGTTCCTTCAGGGGAGACACAGGAGTTCCAATGTCTACACCTCGCTTTATCGATTCATTACCTATGTAATCAATTATTTACATGAAAGGCACATTGCTGAATAAGGAAGATATGTTCAGTAATATCATATATTTATCCTTCGCATTTAATTCCTTGATTATTTCTACAAACTCAAAACTACCTCTTACGCTACTTTGCACAAGATTCTTAAGTAACGGCCGTAAACGTTCCACTAGCTAGTTCACAGTTTAATGGTATGGCATATCGAGGACTGGTCTAAGTGGCAAGCAGTCGCTGTGAATCTTCAGTATGCCATTTAACCTGGGTGTCACCATATCACAGTCAAGTTCACTTGAAGAGACAGTTACTACGTTCATGAAGAATTCAAAAGTTAAGTTTCTGTTGAAGTTAACACTGAATGTGTTGTCTATAAAAACAGTGAAAGTCTCGTAATTAAACCACCTAGCACAAATAGTGAAACAACACTAAAACCAAAAACTGTTTAAAGGAATTATTGAGTAAATGCCTAATGGCCCAAAAACGAAGTATGATAATTGTACATTAAGTGTTTCAGTTTTAATGTCTTCACGTAAGTATGATTAGATAAAAACTCAACGTATAAGGAAAAAATCATGATCAGAATAAAAAGGCGAAGTTACATCTTTCGTATTATTTACTGGATGACGCTTAGAACACTGTTTATTGTTCGTAATCATGCCAACTGTAAGTAAAAGACTTCGAAAATCGATTGCTGCGGTTCTTGTTCATTTTTCCCATATGTCGCAAAGGTAGTAAAGTTATATACATGTATCACTGTTTCCTTTTGTAAATATACTGTCGCTGATACTGAAATATACTTTCCGGCTCAAATCGTGTGTGTCCTCGCCCAAGTGGAGCGACTAGGGAAATCAGGTGGCTGTCATATAATGTTGTTGGCGTTAGACTAGCGATATTCGTGATTACTGCATTTGTGTCCAGCTTGATGTCCCTATTTCAACTCAATGTATTGCAGATATAAAAGTGGTGACATTTATAGCATCATAGCAGTAAGTTATCCTGGAACTAGAAGTATTAAGATCAAAATAGCTGCTTTCATCTTATTTCGTTATGGAGGTATCAACAAGGCATGTGTTTCACCTTCCTACTGTAGTGTGTATTACTTTTAGGAATACATTTGAGTAAAATCTAGTGCGTTGCTGTCGGTAGGTGCTACATGAGTAGAAAGCCTGCTCTTGCATTGGTTATCAGTATTGGAAAATAGGAACAGGAAACATCAGTCATCGAATGAGAAAGTTCACGAGAGAAGAAAAAAATCTCCTACACAAAAAACATTGTAAATCCCAAGTAGGAATATTGTATCAGTAATTTAATTAACAGGAAATCTTCTAAATTTACTTATATCTCTTGTTATCTTGACTACTATCTAGGCATAAATTTGTTACCCCAAAAACTCACCACCTTAAAGTATGTAACTAATATGGTTCCATTTAATAAAAGTGTTCAAATGCTTAATCTTTTATACTTCACTGAGTCTTGCAACATCTTCAAGTTTATTTCTTTCACTAAAAATTATAAAATGATCCTGTCAAGGTTGTCTTTGAGAATGTCTAATCTCATAATAGGGTGAGTTGTTTTGTTCATCACTCTAAATACCTGAGGATTTCTAGCGGTTCTAAGTGGTTAATTACTGATACGACCTCAACTGAAATGCGGAAAATTCAATCAGCACTCACCTTGCATTTTTTAGTGTAACAGGAAAAGTAAATCAACAAGTTATTTTTTCAAATACTAGTCTCGACAAAGAAGCCTATTCAACTGATAATAATGTTCAGGACAATATTGTGCTAAACATTTACACTACCCGTCTTTCCAGTCAACCACAAGAATCGCAGGAGAACAAACCCTCATAAGATTTCATGGGTTGTTTAATTTACTGTAGTCTGAAGAATACTAGAACTTGTGTGCTAGAAATGACTTGAAGTTTTGTTGAACTAGCGCATATGATTCTCCACCTTTTCAGTATTCTAAGTGTCGTGAGGATTTCAGCATAACACATGATTAATCAGGTTGAACGAGCGAAACATCCAAGAAGTGGTTTACTTCATCGCATCTAAATCCAAACAACAGAATCCAACACGCCATTTACAAATTAAGGCACTCTAGCTGAAAGTATTCAGATTACAATATGCGACCTGCTTATTATCAAGAATGGTAATCAAGAAAGCAAATAAAATAGTAAGATTGAGTATACAACTGGTCTATGAGTATCTGGAAATCATCACTCTACATATATTCTTTAACATGGCTTAACTGAAACAGTTGTTGAGGCTATCATATCTTGAGGCAGCTGTTTGGTCAACCTGAAAATCACACTTTATATTGAAGGTTTCACTTTTTTCAATTTGTGTCCTACGGGCTTTATTCTACCTGATCTTTCAGTGTGTGCTTATCCACAAAGAATGTGCCGTTATGTTGTGTCTTTCATGCATACTGAGTAACCCAGTCATTATCACAGGATGCACTATTCTAGTTTTAGTGATAGCTACTAAGCAAGGCTTTTTATTCCAGTTCCATCTCAGAAAAGAGAAATTTGTTTCACGGGAATTAATGAGATTGAAATTTAACACAAATAAACACTCGGGTATTTGGAATTGCATATTTATAATAATGCAGAACAAAATGATTAAAGAAATTGATGAATAATATTATTAAAGCAAGCAAAAATACTGTTTTGTTTTTTCACATCATTTGAAGTGATCAGAAAATGAAGTAATAATAGTTATCTTACTTACAAAGAGCTTCGATGAATAAAAATAATTTTCAAATCATACTCTCAGATGGACTAAATGAAAAACATTTTCAGTCATTCACTCTGTTGTATTCGATGTGTTTCTAACTCCTTCATAATGCGTAGAACAACTTCTTCTTTCCAAGGTTTACCTACAATTTGCACACCGATTGGTAGTCCTTCACTTAATTCTTGATGTTTGAATACCTCACAGTGAAAACGGTCTCCAGATCTCTTGTAGTTTTCGGCCAATGATTTTGACTGTTTTACATCTTCTTTATTTACACGACCCATTGAAACTGTTCCAGCAGGATAATCCAACATGTTATACAAAATTGTGTAAGCAATAGCAGGTGTAACGAAGAGGGATTTAGCTGACTTAGGGAAGGCTGGAAATGGAAACACTGGACAGATGATTGCATCAAGATCACCAGCTTCTTCCATAGCTCTCTGAAACTCACGTTGATACTCCTCAATATCTGAAATCAAATTTAGTACCTCCTTCTCTCCTCTAGCTCCATCCAAGTATTTAGTAACTGCTGCTGGTTTACCAATAGCAAGTTTCATGAGATTATCTGTTAAAACTTTTAAACAGTGTGGAGCACGAGGAACTATAGTAAGCAATTTGGTGTGCTCATTCAATGGCTCCGCAAACAGTTCACTTTGCAAATAATATTTACCATCAATATTCACCGCTTTCATACTCAATTCATTTGCCCACTTTGGTTTCGGTACATTGAAAGGCACTACTCGGTGACCATTTTGCTCCAAAACACTGACTGATTCACGTATTGCTCTACGAATACTTGGGACAGTAGCAATAATAAATGGATCATCTAGAGTTTCATAATATCCTATACACAAATTTGTTTTGTCTCTGCCCTCATAGATTATTTCATTAAAAACCAAAGGTGGTACTGAAGGATCCAGCTCGAACATTTTGGGTGTTAGAAGTGTGCGCATAAGTTTTGCCAAATCATCCACTCGCTTACCCATTGGACCCACACAGACTCGTAGAGAGACAGACTTCTTATAACCTAGCGTGGCTAGACCCTGATTGCTCAAACGACCGGAGGTTGGTTTCAGCCCTGCAAGACCACAAAATACCGAAGGAATCCTGACACTTCCACCTAAATCAGTTCCAATTCCTATCGGTGAACCCTTCAATGCCAATAGTACTCCTTCACCACTTGAACTGCCACCTGTTTCATGATTTGAAGAGTAAGGGTTGGACAAATCACCAAATACAGGATTTATTCCGCTGAGTGATAAAGCTGTTTGCGAAGTTGCTGTCAGAACAAATGGTATAGCTCCTTCGTGTTTAAGTACTTTTAAAATACAACAATCTTCATTTGAAGGTTGATTACACCGTTTGATCAAACCAAATGTCGTATCGTATCCTTTAGCTGGACACAGTTCCTTTAGGCTGATTGGTATTCCAACTAAAGTTTGTTTGTTTTTGGATGGACGATTCGAATTCACTAGATTAACAGCCAGTTGTTCTGCTTCCTCTAAGAATTCACATATACCTGAATTTCCTGCATCATGTAGTCGCAAAGCTTTCATTTGGTAGGCATGCAATAAATCAACTGGCGTAAATTTGCCTTCAATCAATTGTTGTTGTTGTGTTTCCAAACTGAGATCTGTAAGTGATAACAATTCAGGGTTCAGTGTCGAAAGGTTTTGTCTCAAATTATCCATTCGTTCGGCTAACAGTTTCTGTTTACGTGACAACTTTCTGCGAAGTTCTGACTTTTTCTGATAGTATATTCCAATATATACAATTAGAAACAAAATTCCAAAAGGCAGCATTACTATGATTAGTAATTTGTCAACTATCCATCTTAAGGTAGTCGGAGTTGAAAAATTAAAATCTTCTGTGTTCTTCATTTCCATTATGTAATCTGTACAAAAGTCATATAAAACAAAAATAAAATGTAAATAACTTTTTAGGCTTTTTCTGTTTACAAACTGTGATATCATTTTGTGGAGATGTCAACCAGTCACACAGACACCCATCTCCTATGTATAGCTACAAGTCCCGCACTCTTCGTAACCTATTTTGTTCTAAGCAGAAGTTCTTTTATTATAATACAGTACAAAATACCTACCCCCTAGTTGAATACTCATCGCAACCTTATCAATGTACCTAGGTGACTATTGCTAGTAGATACTATTCGTCCGTGTACCTCTTGTCAAAAGGGGGAACCATCCACTCGTACATGAATAAAAGTCTCCCAGCTCCATCACACTGCATTCATTCCACTATGCGTAAATTTAGTCAATACCTCTACTCATCTGTTTTGCAATTAGTTGGCTTTTTATTCTTGCTATCTTAAGATCAGTGGGATATCTTTATTAATCACCTAGAACTTTCGAGTCATCAGAAGTCATTTACTATAAAATAATCTTATCACTTAGTTAATTGTACATAAATAATGAAGTAACCAAATGACGTACAAGTGTAGCATGTAACTGGTATCATGCATTTAGTCTTTTGCTTGGCGCAGACTGAATTCTATTGGTCAAGTTTGTAATGTGGTCACTACGCCAGATGACCTGTCATCACTGTGAATTGCTATCAGATGGTTGGTTCTGAACTGCTGTCTGCACCAAACAAAGGGTCAAATGCATGTCCAGTCATAGTCTTTAATAAAGTCCCACAGGAAGCAAATCGTGAGCCCGAATAACCGGAAGCGTTTCAGTGATATTACAGGTCCTGGTAGGCGATGTATCGATGTCCCCTCTGCTGATATAAATACTCCCAACAAATCCTTCATATGCTCTTCTAAAGATGCTTTTGTCTCCAATATGACCGATAAAAACGTTAGTGAATTTCGCGGTTTTAACACTTTCGATGTCCTTAAGTGTTTGAAATCTCTAAAATCTTCCCAGAGTCTAGGACCTGATGGTTTACCTGCTGTTGTCCTCAGGAGGTGTGCTGATATTTTCTGTTACCCATTTACAAACATATTCAATACTTCATTTTCCAGTAATATTCTACATGCTGCTTTGAAAGACGTTAAAAATATCTCTGTACCTAAATCATGTTCTGGTAATAATGTTAAATTTAGACCTAATGCAATAACCTCTTTTTTTAAATTAGTGGAGAAATTACTCTTGCTCAACCTTGTATCCTCTTTAAAAAGTTTTAATGACCCCAAACAGTTTGCTTATAGGCAGGGTAGAAGTACTTTAGTTGTTGTCGCTGTATTACATCATAACATTGTAAGCTCCTTAGACAAAGGGGCCAAGTATGTACGTTGAACTTTCCTCGACTACACATCTGCTTTTGACTCAGTACCTAGATGCCTCTTGTTAAATAACCTTTCTCTTACGCACACTGAGTCCTGGGCTGTTAACTGGTTGCATTCTCATTTCTCAAATAGAATGCAGTATACTGTATATAAGGGTGAATCTTCTTCTACCTTGCTTACCGAAGCTGGTGTTCCTCAGGGTGCTGTTCTCTCTCCTTTCCTTTTTTCTTTCTTCTTACATGATTTACCTCTTTCTAACGAAATCAACTTAGTCAAATACGCTGACGATCTGATCGTCTAGCTTCCTGTCAAGTCCCAATCTGAATGTTCCAAACTTAATTGCTTTCTGTCGAACATCAGTCAGTGGCCCGAGCTAAATGGTCTTACGTTAAATCCCTCAAAATGCCAAACTACTACCTTCTCCTTAAGACATAAAAGTGATCTACAACGACTGGTTAATTCACACGATGCTTGTAGCAAGGAGGGGTGTGTAGTAGAAACAAGGTCCAACACAAAATACATTGGTATAGTTTCATCTTTTCACCTTACTTGGTCAACCTATATTTTATGAATCTCCAAGAAAATGCTCCGTCTAAGCTACTACATTAAAAAGCTAAAGCTATCTGGAATCATGGAGGGTTTCATCATGAACTGACATCAGTTAGAGAACCACTGGAGAACCAGCTGGGAGTACTGGACAGCTGTTTCGTCCTAGATTGGGACTCTTCAGCAGTACGCGCCCACCGGGATTCGAACCCAGGACCTTCTGGTTACGAGGCGAGCTCGTAGACCATTGAGCCACTGGGACCCGATCCTCATGATGAACCCTCCATGCAATCAAACCAAATCCCTACAAAACCAATACTTGCAAACTATATTTAACCTCTGCTCTCACAATTTGTTAACTCGTGTATCTTACCTATTCTACTTTACTGCTCCCCCTTAGTCTTTCCTGGTCTACCGAAAAAGGTCAATGTCACTTTGAGAAGGGTATTATCTGATAGACATCTAAACTCATGCGAGAAATGGTCTGTATCTACACTGCCTGACTCCCAACACCCCCTCTATTCTCAGCTCACCCCTTGTATCTCATCTGGTAGAATCAGAAGTCAGCACAAAAGATTCTATGCTCGTACTAACAAGTTTAAGAACTCAATGACACCATATTTGGCCAGTGTTCTGTATGACAGAGACAATGTAAAGAGTGAGACTTATGAATTACTATGCTGTTAGCTAAATAATTGGCCCTTTTATTATCTTCTATTTGTAATCTATGGTGACAATACCTCTATTTAACTGGACAATCTTAACCACTAACCTTGTTATTATTTATAATGATTTTTGTATATATGTGCATATGACTTCACTGTCACTACAAATACCATATCAGAACCTTAATTACCCATTCTGCAATATTGTTCCTAAATTTGTTTTCAAATGTTGTTCGATATAATTGACTGATAATCTTAACTGCAAATAATATTATCATTATTTTACGATTCTCCTGTTTGTTTATGATCCTACTGTCACTACAAACATCAAATAAGAACTGTCATTAACAATCGTGTAACATTATTTTGTAATTGTTTTCAATGTTATTCGATTGAATTAGATGCCGTAATGTACCGAATGCTGCAAATTCCACACTATAACATTAGTACTGTTTTGGAATAAAGCACATTATTATTACTATTTTAAAGAATGCCTTTTCTTTTCCATGTGTGCTGTAGGTCTGACAGCCTTAGAGCTTACAATGGTATATTTACCTAACTAGACAAGACTTGTTGAATATACTTTGCTTATCCTTTTGTCATGCCGTTCTCTAGTCACCGTATATTCTACTAGCGTTATTAGTTGTAGGCATTAAATTAAATTATTTAGACCCACAAACTGACGGTTCTACCTGAAATACTAAATCGACTGTGGATTTCTTGAATCGTATTCATCATCAGATCTACGGGCTTCTTAATTCCTTCACGTGATACTATGAAGATATATAGATCAGGCTATCCTATAAGACTAATAGTCGACTTTAGAAATACCCTTTCTTATGAGTTATCAATATTAGGTCCCATCGTAAATCACAGGAAATTAAGACTAACCAATTCATGTAAAATGAAAAAGAAACAAAGTGACACTGAAATACAAAATAATGAAAAAATGGTTAGTTTTGATATAGCTAGTCTTTATTACTCATACACTAATCGATATACATCTAAAAGTAGTCAGAAAAGAAATAATTGATGATCCTGAATTCACTCATAAACAAAAGCTACATACTGAGTAAATTATTCGGGAATTTCAGTCATATCTCACGTCTAATGTGTTCAAATTTTAGGGCAAAATATAAAGATGAATACAAGAGATAGTAATGGAACCACCAATATCCCCAATGTTAGTAGACATCTTTCTGGATGATGGAGAAAAAATACGACTCTTAAAATATTTAATCTTAATCCAAGGGTATGATGAAGATATATGGATGACACTCACGAAATTAAAAACACAACGTATCTCTCGTTTTTTCACGCATATGAACTGATTAGTGAATGGAACAAAATTTACACTGGAGTTAGGAAATGAACAAGGAGAACTAACCATGTTACATTACAAAATAAAACGAACGCTGTTTAAGTCATGTCATCAGTTATCTGTTAAGATAGACCTAGTTAAGTGCCTGACAAATCGAACGATAATTCGAAATAGTACGTCAGAATGAAATGAAACACAGAGATAGATCATTGTGCTAAATGTATATCCCATAAAATCCATTAGGAAGTTGAAAAAAGTCCACAACAAAAGAAAAAATGCTAGTGAAAATAATGATCATAACTCAAATAGAAGGGAATTCAAGGCATCCACAGTGTCGCCATATGAGAGAGGAATATCTGAAAAGCTAAGTGGAATTCCTAATAAAGGAGGGATTAGGTTGATATCTAAACCTACAAACTCACTGAAGGACAAACAGTGTAAGCTAGGAGATCTTACTAGACAGATAAGTCTATCAAAATATCTGACAACTTCTGTGATGTCAACTACAGAGCTTGATCCACTGGACTGAGATCAGTTAGGTTATCGGAATAGAGGAATTTAACCAAGTACAGGATGACTGATCTCAAAATATATGACAACATTGGAGAAGAAACTCAGCAATGGCAACAAATGGAATAACATACAATCGCATCGTGAGATGGGATGGAACTACAGTTCAAAAATTAAGGTGGTCAGGTGAAGGGAGAGGTTGATCACTGAATCTTTTTTCATCTAGTCTACATCCAACACCGGCAATAGAAGTGATGCAACATCCATACCACAGATATGAAAAATATCGCTACCAACAAAGCCAAAAGGAAATCTGAAAGTTATGTCAGCATCTTGATATGACTCAGTTTCAAACGGTTTGCTTAAAAGCCTGGGATACCTAAATTTTCTGTCCATCAAATGTTTACTCTGTTTCAGATTGTTATGATGATCTAATTACTAAAATCAGTCACAATTCATACTCTCGCACACACTGTTTCAAATAAGTTTCTACCTAAGTTAGGGGATTTTCGGTAGAAATAGACGAAGAGGATTGTGTATAAGTATTGGAGAAAGAGCTTGGGGTGGGACAATACTGAGTCAGATGGTGTACTATAGATTATTAT